CACTGTGCGGGCTCAGTGCCCAGCCGTCCTCCTCTACATATCACTGTGCGGGCTCAGTGCCCAGCTGTCCTCCTCTACATATCACTGTGCGGGCTCAGTGCCCAGCCATCCTCCTCTACATATCACTGTGCGGGCTCAGTGCCCAGCTATCCTCTACATATCACTGTGCGGGCTCAGTGGCCAGCTGTCCTCCTCTACATATCACTGTGCGGCCTCAGTGCCCAGCTGTCCTCTACATATCACTGTGCGGGCTCAGTGCCCAGCTGTCCTCCTCTAGATATCACTGAGAAAAAGAGAGGAGGATGATAAATAGGGTGACAGAAGGTGGTAGTCATTACGCCACTAAAAAAAACATAAGGAGGCACGTGCCGCGGTACATGAATTACCTTTCAGGACAGTCCGGGATGAGCTTGTCATCTGCCCTTTCAATGTCACTGTAGCAACTGACAATATTGTTAAAAATGCCCCAAATCCAAGAAAAAACCCCACAGCCATGGTAAAATTTTTGAAAAGGTCTACAAAAGGAATGCAATGTACCATAGAGGACTATAGAATGTTGCTAGATGGCTTGATGGGCTATGATGAAGAGTCAGTCTTTCATAGCGCCCACGTACCTTCCCTTATGCTGGCACAGGCTCATGCTGGCCCTGCTCCTGCAAATGTGGCACTATACCCTATGAGGATGGGAGAACAGGTGAATGCAATGTGGGAGAAGATACTATCAGAATTTAAAAAAACGTGGAGATAAGAAGTCTATAGCTACAGGAGATATGAAGACTATGTTCAGACTCTGGTCCAAGCATTCAGACCAGAAATCACACTTTTTTGTTTAAACAATTGGTAGGTAAATGGCCAGAGAATGAATCAAAGGATTTAGAGACTGGTAAAGATTCAGGTTGTTTTGATGTACTTTTTTTCGGCACCGGTTGATGAGGAGACACAACTGCTACTGGCCTTCCAGCTCGAAGGGAATCAATATACTTGGTGCAAAAAATGTTGATGACCTGATATTGTGCAACCCAAGTGCGGGTGCCTGTAGGCAGGACACTGTGTCTTTGTTAACCTATTTAGGGACAGAGGGTCACAAGGTCTCAAGAAATAAAATGCAGTTTTGTCAGGAAGCTGTACAGTAACCTTGTTTCATTCTGAAACAAGGCACATGCACTCTAAGTGATCAGCATATCCAAGCTATTCTGGCGTTGCCCCGTCCCTACACTAAGAAGGATATGCTGTCCATTCTTGGAATGGTCAGTTACTGCAGGCAATGGATACCTGACTTCTCCTACTATGACAATATTGCAATGTACAAAGGTTGAGGCACCCAACCTTATACAATGGAACCCAGCACTGATACATGCTCACTTTTACTGATACAAGACCTTTAGAAATGTAGTTTTGGCTCCCAGTCTGGGATCACCTGATTATACAAAATGTTTTCATGTGTATGCTAGGGACAATTGTAAAAGTATAGCGGTAGCCATGGCCAAGGAGCATGGGGAAAACATGAGACCAACTGCCTTTTTTTCCAGAGTACTTCCCATCCCCGGTACAGGGCATGCCAGCCTGCTTAATGGCACTGGCCGTATGTGCAATGGCCATAGAGGCAGCAATAATAGTAACTCTAGGTCATGACATAGTTTTGCACACCACACATCATGTATTAAAGAACCTCACAACACAGCACATGATGGCACAAAGGTCTTTAGGGTATGAGGTAATTCTCATATCTACCTCCAATTTTTCTCTGGAATACTCTTCCCCCACATCAAGACCAATCGCGATTCTGAATGGTATGTTAGGTTTTAAGGGACAGCAGGATACACCCCCTGAGGAACATGACTGCATTCAGGTAATACATGAGGACACCACACCCATAGCTGACATGTTTGAACCACAAGAGAATTTTAAAGACATTTTTTGTAGATGGTTCATGCACCAGACCTACTGTCCGTAAGTTTAAAACAGGGTATGCAGAGGTAGAGCTGCCAGACATTATACTGCAAGCCTCATCTGTTCCTTACAAATCAGCTCAAGCTGCCAAATTGATTGCTCTTACCAAGGTTTGCCAGCTTTTTAAAGGACATACAGTTGATATTTACACTGTATGCCATTGGTGTAGTTCATGATGTTGGGAAAATATGTAAAAGAAGAGGGCTTGTGACAGCAGAAAATATTCCATGGAGATTTGATTACTGATTTACTAGAAGCCATCCATTTGCCTGCTCAAGTAGCAGTAATTAAATGCAAAGGTCATATGAATTTTGATGATCAGGTTGCAAGAGGCAATTCACTGGCAGATCAGGTGGCTAAAGCAGCCGCCCAATTGCCCCAGGCTGAAACTGCCCCGCTTGATTCAATGACCCTCATGGTACCACTGTTCCTCCCTGAGGACACCCTCTTGACAGATTTACAAATGACAGCTTCACAGGAGGATGTGGAATTTTGGAAGGAGTCAGGGTTGTCACTAGACCAAAATAGTCTTATGACAAAAGGAGGGGTAGTAGGTTTACCGAATGAGCCGTGGCCCCCAGATGTCCATCCACTCTCTCTTCTCTGCCTCTGGAACCCCATCTGGATGACATCCCTATGTATCCATGCCGGCTAACTACTTACCTCTTGTGAGTTACATACCATTGAGTGCAATAAATGATTATTTAATAGTGCACTTAGTCTGGCGCCCCTCTCTCTCCTTTTAACCTCATCAGTGCCCATCAGTGCTTCCTATCCGTGCCACTTTATCAGTGCCCATCAGTGCTGCCTATCAGTGCAGCCTCATCAACACACATCAGTGAAGGAGAAAAATTACCTGTTTGCAAAATTTTTATAACAGAAACAAAGAAAACCCTTTTTTTCAAATTTTTTTGCTCTTTATTTGTTTATAGTGCAAAAAATAAAACATCCGGTGGTGGTTGAATACCACAGAAAGAAAGCTCTATTTGTGTGAAAAAAATTATAAACATTTCATATGGGTACAATTGCATGACCGTGCAATTGTCATTCAAAGTACGACAGCGCTGAAAGCTGAAGATTGGCCTGGGCACGTAGGGGGTAAAAGTGCCTGGTAGGCAAGTGGTTAAGGAACTTCAGACTGACTTCACACATACAGTTGTGTTCAAAATAATAGCAGTCAGACATCACTAACCTGATCAATCACTGTTTTTGGTAGAAATTATATTTCTACATTTCAAATAATTTACTAGCAGGTGTAGTAGAGTAATAGAAATCCAACAGACCCAACAGTCATGACATGCATGCTGCTGATTCTGTGTAATTGAATCACTAATTGAAAGGGGCATGTTCAAAATAATAGCAGTGTGGAGTGCTATTAGTGAGGTCATTCATTCTTTGAAAAACAAGTGGCAATTATTGCCCTTATTTAAGGAAGGAAGGCAGCAAATGTTGTACATGCTGGTTACAGTGCATTTCTCTCTGAAATTCTGAGGAAAATGGGTCGTTCCAGACATTGTTCAGAAGAACAGCATACCTTGATTAAAAAGTTGATTGGAGAGGGGAAAACATATAAAGAAGTGCAGAAAATGATAGGCTGCTCAGCTAAAATGATCGCAAATGCTTTAACATGGCAACCAAAACCTGGAAGACATGGAAGAAAGCGAAAAACTACCATTCAAATGGATAGAAGAATAGTCAAAATGGCAAGGACTCAGCCAACAATCAGCTCCAGGAAGATCAAAAAAGGTGTAAAGTTACCTGTGAGTACTGTTACAATTAGAAGACGCCTATGTGAAGCCAAGCTATCTGCAAGAAGCCCCCGCAAAGTCCCACTGTTGTAAAATAGACATGTGCTGAAGAGGTTACAATTTGCCAAAGAGCACATTGACTGGCCTAAAGAGAAATGGCGCAACATTTTGTGGACTGATGAAAGTAAGATTGTTCTTTTTGGGTCTAGTGGCCGGAGACAGTTTGTCAGACGACCCCCAAACACTGAATTGAAGCCACAGTACACTGTGAAGACAGTGAAGAATGGTGGTGCAAGCATCATGATATGGGGATGTTTCTCATACTACGGTGTTGGGCCTATTTATCACATACCAGGGATCATGGATCAGTTTGAATACATCAGAATACTTGAAGAGGCCATGCTGCCTTATGCTGAAGGGGAAATGCCCTTGAAATGGATGTTCCAACAAGACAACGACCCCAAACACACCAGTAAACGTGCAACATTTTGGTTCCAGACCAACAAGATTGACGTTATGGAGTGGCCAGCCCAATCCCCGGATCTTAATCCAATAGAAAACTTGTGGGGTGACATCAAAAATGCAGTTTCTGAGGCAAAACCAAGAAATAGAGAAGAACTGTGGAATGTAGTCCAATCATCCTGGGCTGGAATATCTGTTCACAGGTGCCAGAAGTTGGTTGACTCCATGCAACACAGATGTACAGCAGTTCTCAGAAACAGTGCTTATACAACCAAATATTCATTAAGTGATTCAAAGGAAAGCAAAATCTTCAAACATTTTTCAGTTTATATAGTGAATGTTTGAGTTTGTAAAGAAGAATACAAACACTGCTATTTTTTTGAACAGTCCAATATTCACTTTTCTTCAATTTTTTTAGAGGAACAACACAAATTTGATATATTTTTCTTCATGTTTTGATTTGGAATATAATGTGTAGTGTTCCCAATGCATTTGTGTGTATGGAAATGAAAGCTATTAGGATTTTGAGCTTTATTCACTTTTTTCAACACACTGCTATTATTTTGAACACAGCTGTATGTCTAAAGTCAGAGTAACAAAAAGTATTTGTTGGCAATTGTGGATAAATTCAGCAAGTGGCTGGAAGCATTTGAAACAAACAAGGAGGATGCCAAAATGGTTGTCAAGATTCTGTGCAAGGAAATCATCCCATGATGGTAATGACCGTTGGGTTCTTACTTAGATAAAGAACCAGCCTTTGTTTTAGCAGTTACTCAGCAGATAGTAAAATTAATTCACTATATCTGGTCTCCCCGGACCCTGCATTCACTATATTTGGTCTCCCAGGACCCTGCATTCACTATATCTGGTCTCCCCGGACCCCGCATTCACTATATTTGGTCTCCCCGGACCCTGCATTCACTATATTTGGTCTCCCAGGACCCTGCATTCACTATATCTGGTCTCCCCCGGACCCCGCATTCACTATATCTGCTCTCCACGGACCCTGCATTCACTATATCTGGTCTTCCCTGACCCTGCAGTCACTATATCTGATCTCCCCGACCCTGCAGTCACTATATCTGATCTCCCCAGACCCTGCATTCAGTATATCTGATCTCCCCGGACCCTGCATTCACTATATATCTGGTCTCCCAGGATCCTGCATTAACTATATCCAGTTTCCCCAGACCCCTCATTCACTATATCTGGTCTCCCAGGACCCTGCATTCACTATATCCGGTCTCCCCGAACCCTGCATTCACTATATCCGGTCTCCCCGGACCCTGCATTCACTATATCTGGTCTCCCTGGACCCTGCATTCACTATATCTGGTCTCCCCGGACCCTGCATTCACTATATCTGGTCTCCCCACACCCTGCATTCACTATATCTGGTCTCCCCGGACCCTGCATTCACTATATCCGATCTCCCTGGATCCTGCATTCACTATATCCGGTCTCCCCGGACCCTGCATTCACTATATCTTGTCTCCCTCAGTACACAGAACATGGAAATGCAATTATTGTAGTAAATATAAATGGCTAAATACCTTTTCTCATCAGCAGTTAGAGCAGTCTTGTGACTTCTATCGGTGTCCAGCTGTGCGCTGGTTAAAGCTTGTTGGAGGAGTTTTCTTTCTGCTCCAGGAGGATGCAGAACCCCTGACCTCTGTCTGGACAGTGCTGATTGGCTCTGTGCTGATCACATGCACTCAAAAAAAAAAAAACCCTCTAACAATACACACCAAACTGAGCATGTGCAGAGTGTCTCCACACGCTCTGTCTTATCAGGAGATAAGAGGGGGACACTGGAAGAAGGAGAGGATCAGAGAAGTCAGGATCAAACTGAATTTTGACATAATGCCAAGGATTAACCCCTTAGGTTCCACAGTGAGTATAACAACCATGCTTTACTGCATATACAGACTGATTTTATTGTTGTGGGTTTAGTAATACTTTAAAGTGGAACTTTAGTTAGAAAATGAAGTCCTGCTAGATCACTTTAGGCTGGAACTTTTGCAGGTATAGCCGTAAAACATTAACAATAAGTGCCTAGGCTGTATAAAATTAAGTAATATACTGTTTCACCCGGCAAAAATGTAGGGGCCGATCTGCTGACAGCCTAAAGATTTAATGCTGCTCAGGGGATCTGGGCTTCAGCAAAATGGCAGTCTCCAGCAGGAAGAAACAGGAAAATTGCTGGAGGCAATTTACAGCACACACTATTTTTGGCAGCATAATTATTAATGTGGACTGCATGTTCCTTGCGACAGAACAAGCTGAACAATAGAAAAAACTGAAAGCAGAAGCTGATTGGCTCCCATGCACAGCTGCACCAGATTCTGAGTGCTCCAGTTTTAGTACATCTCCTCTAGCTAACTTTTCATTAGAGGCAACCAATAGCCCTGCTCCGAAAAGCGATCCATGGTGGACTGCTTTTCAGAGGCAGTTGGTAGGCGTTCAGGCAGTTCAATACTGTCGCTTCCTGAATGCCATTTATGTTTCTTATTTTTTCAGCCAAATAGGCATTTTACTTTGACTTACCATGAGTTAAGCATTTGGCTCATGGATGTGGTAAGGTCCTGTTGCCTTCAATGGGCATGTTTGGCAAATGGCTTCAATCATAGATGTGACTTTGCATTAGTTTTCTTTATTTTTAGGGTTTTTTTTCTGTTTTTATCTGGTGATCTGGTCAGTAACACACCTCTTGTACTAGAGTGCCCCTGCTCTGAATGAAGGGGTACAGCAGACGGCAGCATTGTCAGCCTGGGGAGTGTTAGTCTGGGGGGGGGTGCGGAGTGTTAGATGGACTAGCAGATTTAAATACACTAACAAATGGAAGCCAAACTCCAGCTAACACTTTATAATCAGTTAGAGCAAACCTTTTTTCTCTTTCCTTTTGGGATAAAGGTTTTACATACTGTATCTCTGCATGGACGCACAGAAATTGGGAGATTTGAAAACTGCTATTGGTCTGAATAGTGGCTATAGATACGGCCACTGCAGTGCTGCCATCAACAGCCAGGTGGACCTGATGAAGAGCTAGTGTCTCAGTTCCCTATCAGGCTCTGCTTAGCCCTAGTACACATCTCCTCGGCTATACGTATACCTATTAGTGCTATGGGTGCAGTGACTGGGGGAGGGAGGGAGAGGACTGACTTCTAGTGCTTTCTAGCTCCTGGGCAGTGAAGCCGCTTATGTCCACTTTAGCAGATAATGTCCACTATGTGTAGGTGACAGGTACACTTCATCTTTACATACAATTTCAGAACAGAAGAAAACATACTTTTGGAAGCATTACTGTAGTTTGCTTACCTAAGTTTTCCAAAAGAACCCTCCAGCGATCCTTCACGCCTTTGCGGACTTGTCTATGAGCGCTGATATCAAAACTCAGTCTCCGGTAACCCTATAGGAACAAAACTGAATCATCAGAAGCTTTTAAATACCTTACTCCATATATCTGCATCCTAGCATCATATTGTTGGATCCCATGTAAAAGAAAATGAAAGAAAAATGTTGTAAATAACAACCGTTCCCTAGTGTCCGAGCATAGATTTGAAAATGCATAGGTAATTGCCATGATCAAGTCCTCCTCAAGGTCCACAACATATCATTTATTTAATCTCTCTTCTTCACTATTTATGGAGACAGCCATGGTTGCCATGCAGGCTTGGTTTCAAAATCATGTATGCAATGCCATGGGGAATAGGGAGCTTAATAGTTTACATAAGTCAGATTTGCTATCTGTCTGACATACACAAAGTAACTGTAAGGACACTGCAAATCTAGGCCAGATCAACATACACTATATTGTCAAAAGTATTGGGACGCCGCCTTTACACACACATGAACTTTAATGACATCCCAGTCTTAGTCCGTAGGGTTCAATATTGAGTTGGCCCACCCTTTGCAGCTATAAAATTTTCAACTCAGCTCAGTGTTTAGAGGTAGAAAAATAAACCCTTTTGGTTTGCATTTTTGATTGGAGCTTTCTGGCAGAAAAAATGCTAAACACTCCTAAACTCACCTAAATGTGCATTAAAGCGCTCTATATCATTATTTTTTTCTGCCAAAGAGAACTGGTGTTTTTTTAAGCCCAGTGTGCAGTGTGAAATAATGTTTTATGTAATATCTCAAATTGAAGTGATTAGAAACAAAACTTAAGAAATTTTTCTCCTCATCTAAATACATAAATAGAAAAAATATACAATAAAATATTCTACATTTAAAAAAAAAAATGAATAAGCCTTTATGACTAAACCTAACATTATTTGGTCCACGTGGGGACACCTAATGCAGGCGTAGGTAGGTAGGGCATGAAACACGAATATATTTTTCCAAGTGATCTTACATACACTATATTGCCAAAAGTATTGGTCGGCCTGCCTTTACAGACACATGAACTTCAATGGCATCCCGGTCTTAGGCTACGTTCACACTAGCGTTGTGTGCAGGCGGCAGAGAGGCGTTTGGGAAGCGTTTTTACCACTTCCCAAACGCCTCTGCCAATTCTGCACATTACAGCACATGGTGCTGTTCTAACGGGAGCGTTTGCGTTGGCAAAACGGACGCCTCTGGTCGAGTCAGGAGGCTTTGAAGCCTCCTATTCTCGTCTATGGTGCCGCTCCGCAAACGCCCAGCCGGCGTTTGCGGTGCGGTTGCGACACGGTTGCGGGGCGTTTGCGGAGCGGTAACACCACTCAAACTGCATTATAGGCATTTGTGGGGCGTTATTAACGCTCGGCAAACGCCTAGCAACCGCCGCTAAACCACGCATGCGGCGTTTGCGGAGCGTTTGCCGAGCGTTAAAAAACGCTCCGCAAACGCCGGACCAACACTTACCAAACGCTATAGGGGCGTTGGGCAAGCGTTGGTAAAACAGCCAAGTGTGAACGAGCCCTTAGTCTGTAGGGTTCAATATTGAGTTGGTCCACCCTTTACAGCTATAACAGCTTCAACTCTTCTGGGAAGGCTGTCCACAAGGTTTAGGAGTGTCTATGGGAAGGTTTGACCATTCTTCCAGAAGCACATTTGTGAGGTCAGGCACTGATGTCGGACGAGAAGGCCTGGCTCACAGTCTCTACTCTAATTCATCCCAAAGGTGTTCTATCAGGTTGAGGTTAGGACTCTGTGCAGGTCAGTCATGTTCCTCCACCCCAAACTCGCTCATCCATGTCTTTATGGACCTTGCTTTGTGCACTGGTGAGCAGTCATGTTGGAACAGGAATGAGCCATCCCCAAACTGTTCCCACAAAGTTGGGAGCATGAAATTGTCCAAAATGTCTTGGCATGCTGACGCCTTAAGAGTTCCCTTCACTGGAACTAAGGGCCAAGCCCAACACCTGACAAACAACCCCACAGCATAATCCCCCCTCCACCGAACTTTACACTTGGCACAATACAGTCAGGCAAGTACTCCTGGCAACTGCCAACTCAGACACGTCCATCAGATTGCCAGACAGAGCAGTGTGATTTGTCACTCCAGAGAACACGTCTTCACTGCTCTAGAGTCCAGTGGCGGCATGCTTTACGCCACTGCATCTGATGCTGTGCATTGCACTTGATGATTTAAGGCTTGGATGCAGCTGCTCGGCCATGGAAACCCATTTTATGAAGCTCTCTACGCACTGTTGTTGTGCTAATCTGAAGGCCACATGAAGTCTGGAGGTCTTTAGTTATTGACTCTGCAGACAGCTGGCGACTTCTGTGCACTGACCCCACTCTGTCATTTTACGTGACCTACCACTTTGTGGCTGAGTTGCTGTTGTTCCCAGTTGCTTCCACATTGTTATAATACCACTAACAGTTGGCCGTAGAATATTTGGTAACAAAGAAATTTCACGGATGGACTTATTGCACAGCTGGCAACCTATCACGGTACCACGCTTGCATTCACTGAGCTCCTGAGAGCGACCCATTCTTTCACAAATGTTTGTAGAAGCAGTCTGCATGCCTATGTGCTTGATTTTATACACCTGTGACCATGGAGGTGATTGGAACACCTGAATCCAATGATTTGGAGGGATATCACAATACTTTTGGCAATATAGCGTATAATTTATTTGATCTCCCTTCTTCACTATCTATAGAGACAGCCATGGTTGCCATGCAGGGTTGCCCTGCCATGGGGAATAGGGAGTTTAGTAGTTTACATAAGACAGATCTGCTATCTGTCCGGCATACACAAAGTGACAAAAACACTGCATGTCTAGGCCAGATCAACATATATTTCTGTGTGGACATGCAAAACAGTCTTTGCTGCTGCAACGCAGAACTGGCCATTAATCCTGCTCAATATGTGGCCAAGTTTAATGGTGCCTCAGTCCTTGTCAGGTCCTATTATCAGCAAACGCAAACATTAGGAATGTTCAAGTAAAACTTTCAGTAAGTTGGTGTTTATTAGATTCAGAGATCAACCCACATGGACTATTGAAGTAATTCACACCTCAAGTCCTTATTTTACTCATAAGGTACCTTGTTACAAGGTCTAAGGCATCAATAAGAACAGCTGACTTTCCTGATTATATTTTAGAGTAAGTAATATCTAAGGGGTGCGCAAATTACATAAATGCTGTATTGGGAAAAAAAAAAATTGTTTTTCAACTTTTTCTCAATTTCTTTTAAAAAAACAAAATAAAACTACATATATTTTCATATCTGCTTCCAAATTAAAGCCCGAAAACGATATATAATACTTTAGGGTAGGCTATAAACAATAAAAAAATAAAAAAAATTGTCACTATGTATTAGTTTATTTATAGTGTACACAGAGTGATTTTGCACGATTCACGTGTTACTCACAGTTGCATCTATTTAAAAAATTTTTTTTTATTTTTTTTGCACAGATTATAGTATATACTTATTTGTTTTCAAGGTATATACTTATGCAGGCCATAGATGGGTCAAAAATCGGCCGATTTTTCTTTTAAAAAAAACGAAAAATCGGTCGTTCAAGCGGCCGACGTTACCAGCAACGATAAAAAAAATCGTCCGATTTTCATCCCGTCTACAGTCGGCAAAAAGTGTCCCTGCAGAGAGCTCCGCTATTTCTTTGACAGTTCCTTGACATTTATAGCGGTTGCAACAATGTATTTGTATCCATTTAGGATACAGATGTTTTTATTCGAAAACAAATAGATACATTGTTGCAACCGCTATAAATGTCAAGGAACTGTCAAAGAAATAGTGGAGCTCTCTGCAGGGACATTTTTTGTCGGACTGGAATTCCTCTTCTTCTTCATCCTCTTCTTCTTCTTCATCCTCTTCTTCTCTTCTTCCTCTTCTTCATCTTCCTCTTCTTCATCTTCTTTTTCTTCTTCTTCTTCCTCTTCATCTCTTCTTCTTCATCCTCTTCTTTTCTTCATCCTCTTCTTCTTCTTCATCCTCTTCTTCTTCTTCTTTCTTCTTCATCCTCTTCATCTTCTTCATCCTCTTCTTCTTCTTCCTCTCTTCTTCTTCTTCTTCATCCTCTTCTTCTTCATCCTCTTCTTCTTCTTCTTCATCCTCTTCTTCTTCATCTTCTTTTTCCTCATCTTCTTCATTCTCTTCTTCTTCTTCTCCTCTTCTTCTTCTTCATCCTCTTCTTCTTTTTTCTTCTTCTTTTTCTTCCTCTTCAGGTCACTGCTCTTGCGCAGATTTTTTTATCGGTAAAAAGATCGGCCGATTTGCCCTCATTGCCGCGAAAATTCATCGGCAAAATCTCTTCTTCAACTTTCTTCATCTACCAAAATCTTCTTCCGAACTTAGCCCACTTCGAAAATCAGCCGATTTTATTTTCGGCTGAAAAATCCACCGATTTTCGACCCTTCTATGGCCTGCATTATTATCTTCATGCACAATTTTAGTTTCATTTTTTCTTATTCACTGGGTCCGGAATGCTGGAAATTCTTGGACACACAGGATTGAGAGATTTGGTTGGACTTGGAAATTTAATTTTTCTTTTTTCTTTTTTTATTTTGTTTCCTAATTTGCAGGAAAAAGGTTTTGAATATTAATAAAAAGGCATAATGTGCAAAATTGAGATATTTCCAAAACGAAAAAAAAAAAAAAAAATGTTCTGGTAAAAAAAATGCAAGATGCACTCGTGGGCCCCTCCTTCTTTGCAAAACCACCGACTGTTAGTAGGTAATAAATGTAGATTTAGGCGGCCATCATTCGATTTTTCCGCGAAAATCTGACCTAAGAATAATCGGCCGATTTTCACTCTTTTAGTGGGGCAATGGCACCGGCCGATTTTCGTGGTTCCTCCCCATTTTGTTTATCAGCCATGCAGGAAAATTTGTGAAAAATGACCGATTTTCAAAATCGTTGGATTACAGAACGAACAATGTTTTTGAAATTGTTCAGAATTTGATCCATTTATGGCCTGCTTTAGATTATATTTACCTTATACCTGTCTGTTGCATT